GAACGAAGATAATGTCCAATTCAGATGTACGTACAATTCCTTTCCATGAGCATCGTCTACGTCCTCTTCATCTTCTGCAAGGGTTAAACATTTAATTAATTAAGAAGTTTGTGCCCTCTAACAAGGTGCATTTTTCTGAAAATCCTTCGCAAAGGGTTTGAGGAACTCCCTATCTCTTCAAATCTACAAACGAAGTACAGTAAGTGAAAGTAAAAGCGATCCATTGTATTCTGTTGTAAAAAATGGATATTTTATTTCATCCCAGCAACATCTTAGCCGGTGAATTTCGTTGGCAAAAAACGGACCCGCATTAATGTTGGTAGGATCGCGATAATTTTCACAATTTTCGAGGTACCTATCTTGAACAATTAATTTGTTCAAGCATCGGTATTTCGAGTGTGCTAATTTCTAGTATAGAATAGTTGATAGTCTGGTTTTTCCAAGGGTTTTTTCACCACGATTATTATCGTAATGTCAACGACATAAAGGCGGCCAATGCGTCCACTAAACTCTAAACTAAAGGATCGTAATTACTTAATTCGAAGTTAATTATAATATTGTTCCGACTTCATAATCCAATTTCACGTTTTTCAAGAAGACAAAAATTCAATTAGAGCCGAACAGCACGTCAATGTAAAGTTAAATATGCGGCCAGAGATTATGCCATGCTGCAAGCAGTCGTTTAATGTATTATATTAAGTGCTCATTAAATACCGGAGGGATTCGCAGGTAATTTCCTTAGGCTTGTCGAGCTACTTATGTATGCAAAGCTTATTATTATTCCTTTTTTTTTCAGTAAAATCGTTTTCACACTTTTCCTTGAATTTTAGATTCGCCTGTCTTCCATGCATCTATTGCACTAAAATGTTGAGGCTACAGCAGATCACTGCAATATATCGGGGTTGATAGATTTTCAACATCTTTTTCCTCAACTCAAGAAGTATATCCGTAATATGCACTCACCTAGAATTGTGCGGTTTTATTTTTTCTTCTTTTCTTGAATGAAATTTAACGTAAGCAGACTAAGTGTTCAACAACCTACATTGCGTGGAATGTTGAGGAGCAAGCGTCAAATTTTCCGCAACTTGCAGGCTCATGTGTGCAAAAAATGAAATCCTCATGCTTTTCTGTTGGGTTCCTTCCGATCAAAATTACTTAATAGGCCTGTGCTTTCGGGAGTAGTTCTTTTCCAGTAATAGTTGGTGACAAAAGAAGAGGTTTAATTTAAATTTCTCGCTGAAGAGGCCTTTTAGACTACAACGATATGGCACAGTGAGAGATAAAACAAACACTAAAATCCGGCCGTATTCTGTTCAACGTCTGCTCTGCTATATGGGAAAAAAGTATAATACACTAACGATGAAAGAGAATTAAATTCTCCTGAAAAGCGACTCCATCCAGTATTCCTTTGTCATTTTACTGAAGAGTGCATCTTAATTAATTAGTTTATACAAAGATAAGGGTACAGCAACCGGCAAATAATGTATTTATTAGGTATACATTTGTCACTTGCTAAAACTTTTATTTTATCTCTCAGAAATGGATTCAGTGAAGTTCCGATCGAGTTAGTAAATTTAAAATTCTATCAGTTATTACGTATGCACGTACAAACAAACCAATTTTCTAAAGTGCTTTTTTAAGATTTCTGAAAGTTTTCCTTCCACTTTATCAATGAGTCGGAGATTTCTCGTGTCTACAATGTTATATCTTTGAGGACAAGCTAAAGGTCTTATAAATAATGGTGCTGTATGTTAAAATCTTATCCTCGATCCGTTTTCTTTTCTCCTTCTTTCGCTGGTAAACCCTCACAGTGTGTTATCTTCAATGGCACAACCCAATTTTAACTGCTAAATACATTTCTAACTAAAACTTTCACATTCTAATTAGAACCAGTATCCGAAGGCACTACTTCAAGAAGTATAATTATTCTAAATCGCGTCCTTTTTTTGATACGTTGAACGCAGACCTAAAAATTTAAATTGATCCGATTCTCCTCCAATTGAAGTTGCTGAAGCTGTGCCATCTGCAGAGATGACATCCAAAAACGTAAGTAAGTTTAAATTTGGTTCATTTTTCAACTTCTTTCACGTTTCGCTGGTTCAGATCTTAATTTTTTACAGATTGACATAGCAGTTTCAGTGTTATTTCAGAGCTCATTTCTTAAACAATCACAGAGTTAAAAAATGGGGGAATTGATGCTTGATTGCGATGCTTAAAAATACAGTTTCATTTATCTGAGGTGAACTTTCCAAAGTATTTTTTTAATTCACTGTTTTTCCTACCTCAGTTCAATTTCCGCTGGACAACCTGCTGTATGAATACATTTGAAAGTTTTGACATGTGAGTTTGTTAGGGCATGGCGGCATAAGCGGTTAATTTTTACGTAGAAATGTGTCCCTCCCTTTCCAAATAAAATTGAGGTGTCCACGAATTTTTTACAGTCATTGGAGTACTTATTTCAAATGATTTATTATATTCTCGGAGTTTCGTCTCTAATGTACCTATAGCATGTTTTGAACAGATCAGATCGCATTGCTACGTTATGTATTTACTACAGTTTTTCCTATTATTGCTGCCTTTAAATTTAATCTCCCCTCGAATCTCCCTCGAGGGCACGGAGAAGGGGAACTTGATTTTATTCAGTTCATAAAAAATAATAGTTCATGCAGATAATGTATCTATAGTTCCCGTCTCGACAATGTCTATTTATTAAGTGCCTCTGTGGCTGATAAGTTTAACAAAAACACCTACACTGCCATATCATTCTTTGTTGTAAATTTTAATACCTCAGACTTCATCCGTTTGGGACCGTTACCTTCTGTAACTTTATCTCTTAAAGTGACACAGAAAAGTCACGTTTCCTCCATATTACAATTAGCTATTGAGTAGGAATGTAGGCACACTTTGTCAAAAAAACGAAGACTCCGCTCCGCTCCGATAAATGGGCCCCCGGAATGTCAGCCCCAAGTAAACTTGCTCCAATAGAATTTGCATTTGGAATATTCTCTATCCCAAAAGATATAGATCGTCCTTGGAATAGCTGCTATGTACTCGATTTTAAAGCTCCCTTCTACTTCTGTAAGAGAATTCACCTATTCGACACCGGGGTCACTGTCTCCAAGAAAAAATTGTCCCTCTCTTTCTAAGAAAATCGACACTTGATCCCAACATTTTTGCTTCTCCGCCCCGCCGAAATACTCGCTCAACAGGAACTTGGTGGTTCCTTAAATTTCTGTACAAATTTGAATTCCACATATTCATCTCCAAAGGTAGCCATATGAAGACTTACAACTTACTGCACTCTTGGTTAAAAATTGTTTTCATCACCTTCTCTTATTAGTACCTTAACAAAAAAGTACAGTCGATTGAGTAGGACAATCTAAAGGTATTTTCATATCCTTTGGCGTTTAGTCATTTTTTCAACGAAATCCGTGCACTATTTCACCTTGGATAATATTTGTAATCGTGTTCATTGGGTACGCATATTACACCATCATTCAGTGTACACATTTCGATAATCGGCAGGTGATTGTGTTTGTATATCTAAGAAGTCAGAGAGATAGTGAATAATCAGGCGCGCATAACCACGTGACGATCTTAAAAGCAACCTCTGCTAATAAACGGTAAATGTCGTCTCTACTGTCGAAAAGCGAGCGAATGAAGTACAACAGCAAGTACGAAAAATGTTGAAATTTGCCAGGATTGATTAATAGGTAAAATAAATTTCGTGGAACGAATTTATCTCCAGTGCATTCTGTTAGAAAGTATTTTTTTCTCGGGGAAATGATCATTCCGGTTGAAGGGTCAAAGGGCACAAATAGGAAAAAATAGAAAATATATGACTAATAGCCCCAACCACAGCTTGCGATTGCTCACGGAAAGACTCTCGGGTTTTAATAAAAATAGGTGAGGTAGGAAAGAATGAATGATGCAAACAATTTGAACGGACGGTAGGAAGCCAGCAAATTAGGACTATATGGGATCATGGGACAAATATAATAAAGTAGGGAATGCAACGTGTAGAAAAAAGGACATTTAACATTTGAAGGGTGAACGAAGACGATGACACGACTGGAACTTCGTTTCTTCTCCTTAGAGTTGGTCACTCTACCTTCGCGAGTGCTAGTTAGAGAAAGAAAGAATCCTAAAAAAAGGGAACGTAATAACACTAAGCGGAAATACAAGATACGAAGAATGGCGTGCGATGTAGGGGAATTTCTTTCAAAAACCACCCTTAAAAAATTCTAAAAGCGCGGAAAAATGAATACGAGAGAATAATACTAAATATTGCTACAAGAAAACTAAAGATCAGACACGGAAAATACACGCAATAATAAGCAATTAAACAGGTAGGGCAAGGAAAAGGTTTATATTAGGGTAAGAGAGGAATTTTGGAATATATAATTTACAACCCAAAAGAAATTCTGATGGATAGCACGCCATTAGAATAAAAGCAACAAAAAAACACAAGAAAAACCTTAGTGTCACAAAAATAAAAACAAACGAAACATTTTTCCTGCAGAAGTTAATGCTGTTGGTGGGGCTAAAGCTAAAAGAAAATATCTGGGATTAGACAGACAAAATTAATTGGTACTAGGGGGGATGTATGTACGTTTCCAAGGCGAACCTTCCGAATGAAGTTCACATGGGAAAATTTTAATTTGATCAAAGTCATAGGAATGGAGGGTACCTCAAAAATTGCGGGCATAATATAAAGAACGAGTTTCCTATAGAGCAGCCTTTTAAACATGAATTTTCTACCTTAGAGAAAGTTCGTATTGTCTCCTCCTTTGGAGCAATTCATACAGGCAATTTTTCCGGGGCAAATTCACCGGAAGCACCTTTGAAATTAAATTGACAATTCCCAATCGATTATTTTGCATATGACGTGTTAGCAAAAGTTTTTGAGATGTTCCATCCCGTAATTAATCATAATAATCAGAAACACCACCAGTCGTCCACTTCGAGGACCATCATCAGGCTCTATCTATTTTACGTACCCAATAATTGCAGTTCTACAAAGAGGCTAGATGCGGGATGAGTTGTTATTTGACACTCGTATAATCCCGAATCCTTTAACTCCGAGTATCTGATATGTAAACTCCAGTCCTGTAAAAATAGCACGATTAATCAGTAGTGATGCTTTGTGGTCGTATTGACATTGTAGAAATTACCTGCCCACTTTTCCCATTAGAGGTGAAGAATCGTTTATCACTGCTATACGTTTGTAATCCTACAGTTAGTAAATGATAATCCCGGCGCCTAATCCACGACACCTACAAGAATAAAGTGGTAATTATTATTATTATTATTATCCCTCTCTTGTTTTGGGCCCTCAACAGGCATGCCGCCCAATTACAGAGTGACCCGCATAATGCTATTTAGAGGTGCCTCTGCAGAAGGTCTTAAGATGGTCTATACTACTCCGGTATTTACCTTACGAATTAGGAAAACTGCAGGAAAACCTAATTCGGAGTAGCCGGTAGAATGCTCGGAACTGGCCTAAGGTAATTTCCATCTCCGCCACAGATGAAAAATTCACCTCAACCCAGGTTCGAACACCCAACCTTCGGATTTATAACCCAATGCTCTTACCACTGAGCCATAAATCCGATATAATAATACAATGAAGTACGTGTTAAGATCGTAAATACAAAAAAAAATATAAACGAGAAACTTGTACATACTGTGCTCTCGCCAATATCGATAACTTCGCAATGCAAAACAGCGGTTGTTCCAATTTGCGCCTGAACGATCGTATAATTCGGGCTTAGAAACAATTTCTCCACATTTTTCTCATTTTCGGGATCCGTCGAAATGGCGTTGAGACCGGAATCGAGCTTCGAATTTCTTCTCTGACCGGAAATAAACTCTCTCGTCCTCCAATCGTACCGAATATCTGCAAAATGTTGAGCTTTATTAGAATAATGCCACATAAATGTGGGGATATGAATTACGGTTCATTAAGGCATATAAAATGTTTGCCTAATTATGTGATGCTTAGGTACATTGACAAGATAAAAACGATTTTTTACGTTCTATAAGGAAAAAATAAAAGGGAAGTAACCAAATTTTTACAAGGCAATTCTTTTAGGGAGCCCCTCTCCAAGTAAATTACCTAATATCCGAATTAAAATCTTAGGGGGTAACAGAAATCGCGACTGAAAGGAAAATGTACTCAAGAAAGCCTATAATTTAATTTTGATCCTTTTCTCCGGATAATCTTAGACGCGGATGGTTACCTCCGGGCAAAGCGACGTATTGATTTTGTTTGTAATGCCATCTACCGCCTAAAAGGCTAACAGTTCCCGAAAACTCGACAGAACGTTGCACAAGCGTGAGAAACCCTTTCCGGGGATATTTATATCTAGTAATTTTACGTTGAAAGGGTTCTTTGGATTAATGCGACTATCGTCGGTTAGGTGGCGCACAGCGTTTTGAATTGTCAAGCTCGGGGACCAAACGAATTTAATCCCTTTTTCTTAATTTTAACGAATAAGGGATGTCTTTTCGAATACATTGGCATTACGAAACGCTTTACTTTTTAATTGGTTGGATAATTAAGATATCATGCAGTTTTCACTTTAAATATCATAAGTTTAACAAATTAACCAATAATGACATGATTTTAGCAAAAGAAAACACTTTATGTAAACAATTCAGACATGATTTTTAAGAACGCACTTTAATGCAAGAGAAATAATGGGGTCAACTTCGTAAGTGTGAAGGTGTTGCATTGTGATCGTCGTCCATTATTCATCCTTTTGAAAATTTAATTCTGTAGAAAGGTAACGTGTCATATATACCTCTAATTGGTACCCCCATAAATAACAGAGTAGATTAGGAACCAGAGCATTTAGTAGGTAGTTCATGCCCTACAGGGGTTCAAGGCAGCAAGGTTCAGCAACAGGTTCAAAGGCATGAATGCGTTGTGCTAAGGTGGTCATCAGATGCTTAAATATCTCTCCTTACCAATGAGAGAATTATCCTGCTGGAAAGTTTGAACCATTCGCCCTCTTTCGTAGACAGATGACTGTAAAGCTTGTATTCTTTTAGTCTAATCTAGGACAGGTGGCTTAGGCTGGCAAACCCTGAATCGGGGTGCTGATTGCTGAATCTCCTAATCATTGTAGGTACTCGTTTTAAGCCTTTAAGTAAAACACCATCAAATATAATTGTGTTTATTATAAAGGATGAGAAGGGATAAAAAATTTTCCAGCTTTGTTTGTGATACTCGTATTCCGAAATGCTTCCAACACACACAGATAACTTTTAAACTAAATGTTGCTAAATACAAATGGGAAGCGGCATCCACAAACATAGCAACCAAAACCGAACGTAATTAAATTCACACACACATTCCTTTAATGTCTGCATTCATTAATAAATTATTGTATTTTAAACTAGCAATTAGATAGAGCAAAATATCTTGGAGGTATTATAAATATTAATAAAGGGATGTACTATTTACTGCTTTGCCAATGAACAATAATGTTAATGTACGGATGTGTACATAATCAACCGCCTGTTTACATTAGACGTATTAGGAGTTATGCATACCTACTCCTTTTAGTTCATTATAAACAAAGTATCAAAACATCAGAAAACCAAAATTACCCTCGATTTAGTAAATTTATCAGTAATCCTCTCGTCACTTATTATTTCACTCTAATGCTGTGTAATAGGTAACCAACGTACATAAAATTTATGTTCAGTTAATTTATTTACATTACTCTCCTATTTGGGTAATAAATAATAAAAAGTTGTTATTTGTATAATTAGTACAGAACGAAATTGTAAAAACCTAGCGCTCTAGCTTCTTCATTAGTCCATTAGCTACGAGTTTATTTTATTTTTAACTATCGCTGGCAAATAGAAATTCAAGACAAGATCTGTGTATAAACAAAGATCTTGATTTGACTTGATGGTAATTTTGACTCATTATTTGCATAACTAAGGCTCTTATGGAGTGATTGAAACCATGTAAATTGGTAAATCTATTAGAAAATACGTATCCATCGCTGTAATTTAGTTATTTTAATTAATGTTCAAGTAAATAACACAATTAGTACCTGATTTTGAACACAATAGCCAACGTACCTATCATTCAGGCACATCATGAGCTTAATGACTATTCGAATGCGAAGGATAAAAATATAGATTTGAGTGATTGATTTCAGTTCATGTACACGATATCTGCTCCTGCAGTTTTGATTTTGTCGATACCTTTCATTTATAACGAACGAAACAAACGAAAGGATTTTATAATGCTTCATTGGGATCTAAAGTTCTCGCAAAATCCGCTATCAATAATTTTTTTGACCCCACCACTTATGACGCATTATATTTTCCAAGAGTTTACAAATGGTAGGCCAGAGCAGTTTTTTGCATCGAAATTATATCGTGGAAAAATCGTCAAAACGCATTGCACTAATTGCCTATAGAGTACTGGGTGTGAACAACGCCATGTAGAAGTTATTTCTGTCTAAACACCAAAAATAATGACGGAACATCCTGTATATGAGAATATTTCAATTTAGGTATTAAATAAATCTGGAGGATTATTTACGAAATAAGCACAGAGTTCGTTTGTTTTATTTAACTTTGTATTTCAGTGTTTGTTTTTCCTTTTAGATTTGTTTGTAATTGCGTAGTTTTGGTTTTATTTCTTGTTTAGATTTTATCGCTTTTGTAAATTATTCAATTTACAGTAGATGCTTTAATATAGGCACATGGGGCCTATTTCATAAAGCAACTTTGCAACTTTTCACTTGGCACATTGCATTTGCATAATTTTGAAATGCAAAAATTATTATCTGTTTATTTGTTATTTGTTCCAATAACAAAAGTAATCACCTCTGGAACGCTTTCAAAATGTTTTTCTTAATGGTGACGTCACCACAGAAACAGTGGCTTTGATGACAGCTTATCCAAAATTTGGAAAACGATTGTATTGCAGTTGTTGTTGAGATTTTGCCAGATATCGGTCGCGATTGATACCTACAGGTAAATTACGCTGATAGACTCGAAAACTATAACGCCATTTTCCTCTAATAATAATTCAAAATGACACTTGGACTTTTTCACGTAACTATCAGCTGAGGTAAATGATAATTTTCCAGAAAATGACTGGTTCAAAGACCGTTGTACGAAACTCATATAGTTTCCGCTCGATCGCCAACCAACGATTCCTTAATTCCGTGCAAAAATAATTCCCTCCCTCAATACCAAGTTATTTTTAACGCATATTTAATGGTAGAATGGTAATAGCTTAATTTTCATTGGTTCGTTAACTTTCAGGGCTGTCTATAAAAAAGCTGACTTAAGAGATATTACTTATCTTTTCCCAATGCATGCTTAATTCGCAGCGTAAGATATGTAGCATAATATGACTTCTTTTAACGTGTAAAACAAACTCCCGACAAGGTGGTGACAGATACGATTTAAAACAACGACCTTACCGGTTAGGTAAGAGGTCGCCATAAGTGAGGGCACAATTAGCACAAATCGGTGCATTATCAAACATTGTACATAATACGTTGTCAAATTCCTTTCTCGTTTTATAGAATAACCCTCATTAAACAAATCGGTGATCAATCACCTATCTATTCATTGAAAACGCTGTAGGAGCTACTAAAAACACGACTAACTGTTTTCATATGTGACATTTTGCACAGTGGAAAACCAATAAAACTTCAAGTACCTTTTTATTACTTCCGCAATCCTCTTTAACTTCTACCAATACTTCCAAGTTTGTTGATTCTCTTTTAAATGGTCTTATTCTAAGCCATTGTATCGATAATGCCTTTTTATTATTTCGTTCAAACTCTCTACTTGAAAACCCGTAGGCTGCTTGTGCATCTGTTTCGCTTGTATTAATATGGAAACGTTCTTCGCATCTTAATATGCCCGACGTCAAATGAAGTGTAAACGTAAAATACTGTATGGGGAGTATTTTAATGCTCATCCGCCGTATTTATTGGTTTTGTTTGCAATATATTTTTATGGCTAATCAGGAAATATGCTCAGTTTCTGTTTATTGTCAAGATTTCCTCCAAACTGTACAATGCATAAACCACAGTGTTCAGATTTAATACGCTTGCGATGTGGATTAGAACAATAGACATTTACTACGAAATGAAAATCAAGTATAGGTATAAGAAAATGAATGTTTGTTTCACGACTTTCGGTATACTTTACACTTTCTAACTTAACCTACTTCTCGGTTCACGGAACTTTATAAAGATCTTATTTCTTGTCAATTTCAAGATTCGTCAAGATGTCACTTAACGGTTCGAACAAGGTGTAATGAAGTTTTTAAAGAATCTTGATGGGTCTCAGTTTGCTAGCAGTTTAGTTCGAGCTTATTACTTATTACTTTCTAAAGCTTTAAAACCGCCATGAACGTGGGGCGAATGTGCAGCTGAAATAGTTTCCCTAATTGATATTTAGATTGCTTCGTGTAGATTCCTCCACGGCTAGAATTGGTTTTTCTTATAATACGACTCTGATTTAACAATTAATAAAAGATTCACCTTCCTTACAAATTAAGTAATTGGTGTGGTCCATTCAGACTAATTTATGTGCAAAACAATTCGAAATGAAACCGCAAGCACTTTCAAGTTCTTAGAAGAAGGACTGTAAATTAAATTATGAGCGCATTAACTTGTTTACAATCAATTAGAAAGCCACTCAAAGTGACATCCGTGTACCAACAAACACTTTGTAAACAAGAAAGTCTAATGAGACTGCAACTCGGAACGGCTCTTATTTGATTATCCAAAACTTTAATAATGGGCCACGTTCGTCTTTTGCGGCAATGTAATAAATAGTAAGTTGTAATTTGCTAATAAAGCACAGAGTTTGAAATTTATTGTTCTCTTGGTGAGGTTAAGTTAA